CAAAATTGATGACCAAGATTGGGATTGCAGCCCTGCGTAGGAGCACTAATGCACCATTTCAAGTTATGATTCATCTAGCTTCATTTCCCTTCTGACATTCCCACGTCATTTCCATTTCTGCTATCTGATGCAGTACATAATCTGTCTTGCCTGTGCTGACACACAATTTAATGTTTTATATGGTTTAGTTTTGATGGTTATGCAATGGGGCCTGGAATCTCTGGGTATTTTAGTATCTTAGCTTTCATTCTTCATTCTGTGTTAAGAATTGCATCCAATGAGGAGAGATTGAAGACACTCAACACATGCGCCTCCCACATCTTCGCTATGCTCATGTTGTTTGTGCCACTGATAGGGTTGTCTATTGTCTATCATTCCACCAAATAGTCCTCTCCCTTGTCCACATTTTCATGTTTCATAACCACTTAATATTTCTACCAGTCCTCAACTTAGTCGTCTATTCTGTGAAAACTAAGCAGATCCACCAGGGAATTTTGTAACTTATTATTCACTACAAAATTTCGGCTGTGATGTAGACTTGTTCTTAAGGAAATAATAATCTCACCACCACTGAAGACACCCCATGATGAAGTGTCTGCATTAGGTATTCTGCAATAAGGGTCGATGCTCCTTAGGCTCTCTACTTAAGAAAGAGAAATAGAGCCAAAGAGTATCATGGATTTCTGTATGCACTGGGGGAGGACAGTCACACTTCCATTTTTATTATCAGCAGTTAGCCACTGCCTGTGAAATTTTCCATGGGTGTACAAATATATATTTGCTATATTTTTACATTTATTTGTTTCTAGAGATTTTGTAATATGTAACCTAGAACTTTAAGTACTTTTTGTTACATAATTGCAATGCATGTAAATGTATGTATTTAACTTTCTTAACAGAAGTAATGTTTTATTTTGGTGTGAAGATATATACTGTATAAAAACAGATATGATGAACCACCGCGTTCCATCAGATTCAACTTTAAACTTTTACACCCACATTCCTCTATACTTGTGATTTAATTTCTGTAGGGATATGGGAATCAAATGGTTTTTTATTTTGAATTGTTTAATTCATTTATTTGAAATAATTCCATTCAGATAGAATGCTGAAACTTCATATTTTTAAAAACTCTAGATACTACATTGTAAAAGTAGTCAATATAACCAATTGTTTCAATAGATCATCATCTGTATTATTAATATCACTGATGTTAGTAGGAAAATTGTAGCTCACTGAATAATAATGGGTTAGAAGTGTTATCACAGGAAACAGGTAATACATGATAACAATAATGCATACTGAGGACCTCCCAGCCATTTACCTACAGGACAGTCTAGAAAACTAGTTCAGATATGTGAAATATATAGATGTTGCTTACCTATGTGCGTTTCTCAATGCTTACATGATAAATGACATCATAAATCACACCACAGGAGGTGAAAATCCGTGACATTTGAAAGTTTCTTCTGTGATTCAAACTACATAAGATTCTTTCACACGTATATGGCATATCGCAGTTGATTTTTGAAAGAAGAAATCAAAGTAGCAAGTGAAGAATAAGAACTTGTTGAATTGTGCAACACTCTGGTATGTCTTCTTCATGGTAGGACTTAGAAATGCCTATTTGAAAGGTTTATTGAGGACACTGCTGACTTTTCAAAAAGGGTGTTTAGTAAATTGAAACTGGCAATAATAAGACTGCAAACACTAATAGATAAATATGAGACCAGACAGTAAGTGTGAAGACACACTGTTTTCCTGGTAGAAATACAAATGAAAAACTTCTTGCTTTGAAAGAAGCTATCACAAGGATTTTTTTTTTATTTGAAGAGAAAAACAAAACTAAACAAATCAAAACAGTAAAAGGCTAGAAGTAATACATAATTTCAAGAGAAAAAATATACAGTAAGAATTCACCAGTTAACAGATCACCTATTGTCATCTTAGAAACAGTTGTCCAGATTACAAAATTAAAGCATACAAAGTGGATATTTATTTAAAGATAGAGTGAAACTAGTATATAAGAATGCTTCACACCAAGATTTGGCTATAATCACTGCACTGGGGAGTCTGAGCCAGGAAGATTGCAAATAACAAAACAGTGAAAATAAAAATTAAAAATAAAACAAGAGAGAGGATTTAGGATTTCAGAGTGAAACAGCAGAAAAAGAACTTAGGTTATAAAAGTAAAACTTGTACTTCAAAATCCCTCTGCATTTAGCTATGGAGAAACAAAATAAAATAAAATAAAATAAAAAATAGAGTGAGAGTTCTACAAGCTTCAAGAGAATTAGACATATATTTGTTCTGAATGAACCCAAGAGACTGACTTAAGATTTACTTAGGTTCCTTGTGTTTTTGGCTAGGGACATGGAGATCCCTTATCCTGGGTTCATAATTCCTCCTCCTCCACATTTTCATCATAGAACATTAGAAATGCAATTCAGCAGCTTTCTTCTTCAATTTGAGCTGAAGACATTTATACTATGCTTTAAAATCTTGCAGAACCTGCCATAAGTTTTTTTTGGAAGGGAACATGCAAGCATGAAGTTAGACTGAGGAAAAGACCATGTGTATTTCAAAGATAGACGGGGAGTAAGAAGCTGTCCCAGAAATGGTCACACTCTGAGATTGGCACCACACAGTTTCCCCTACAGAGAACATACAACACAAGGTATGAAGAAATCAGACTGAAACACCTGGAAGACATCAGTGGGTGATGGATGAGTTAAAATCACAGAAGAACTCACAGTACACTTCAAACACATGGTAAGAACCAAGCCAGCTCTCAGACTCTAACTAGCGAGGAAGTGTCACTGTTCTAAAGTTTTTCCTCCATAATTTGGCTTTACTAGTTTTTATAATACCAGTCTCACTACTCAAGTAACTAGATAATTACCTGCTACTACCTCAACTGCAAGTTTGTAAATCTGTATCTGTAGGGCAAGGCTCATAATTCAGCTGGTTACTATGGAGTAAGTGAGGAGATGATTGGCAACAACTTGCTGTTCTAATTCTGTTTACTTTTGGTAGAAACAAAAATTTGCCCCCCTTAGAGTCAGTGACTGATGGATAGTAATATCATAGAACTAGAAAGCTGAGGGCAAACCTATGCAAGTCACAGTACTTAGTTTTGACCAGTGTGTCCTTAAACACGTGTCAAATGATAAAGCTGTTGCAGTACAGAGTGTCTGTTGCTGATTATAATCTTTCATTGCAGATTTAGGATCTCTGGTCCCAGCTATTGATGGAATTACTGGTTTACTTTTGATACAAAATATAAGGTTAGCAGACTCCTGAGGTTGACAAAATACAAAAGATTAATTGGAAAGACTAAGAATGAGTAAAATGATTGAGTTTAAGTTTATAAAGCTATTGATAATTCTGTAGTATACAATTAAAAATTTTCTAAACATAAAACTTGTAATTTTTTCCAAATGAGACTTGATTAAGCAATTTGCATATGAAGCATCAGAGAACAAGTTCTGAGAAAATTCAGTCACCAGAGAAAGTAAGAAGTGATTAAACTTTTCTAAGTTATTCTGAATTCCTCCTCTGAATAATTTCTGGTATCCCAAAACCTATTATCTGTTTTCCTTAACTAGTAGTATATTTGCCTCTTTAGAATAAGTCTTTTTTCCCTTACTTTTCATTAATTAATTAATAGCTGACTTCTCGAGATAATAATACTTTATTTAACACTAATGAATCTGTATGGGCCACATCACATGCTAAACTGGGAATTTTAAAGCCAAGTAATTAGCTTCTATTCTGAATACATCATACCTCTGCCATTTTGCTTGTATATGGATTTCATTTAGAATGTGTTCCCTCAACAAGTGCATTAGAATTGTCCAATATTTTGCTTCTCAGATGTTTCTCTATTCTAGGATTATCTAATTGATTTTAGAATTTTAGCGGTTTTAAGTAGATAACTAAGTATAAGGATGTCAGCTATTGGAAAAGGAAACAATGCAGAGTGGAAATTCAAAGATGCGAAGAGCATTGTCTCCTCAAAAGTTCATTGATGTGTTATTTACATACATCAATTCACCGCAGTGGATGCAATCACTGTATACTGAAAATATACAAAGAATCAAAAGAAAAGCATAAATTTGGAAAAATAGTTGAATATTCTATTCTAAAGCATTTTATTTATAATAACTTGGATGAGTTTCTTCAAATATCGAACATAATATGTGTACTGGAAATTTTATATAGATACAAGTGATACAGACACATTTTTTATCCTTCCTTCCTTCCTTCCTTCTTTGGGAGACTAGCTATTTATCCCAGGGCCTTTACACTGAGTTGCAACTCCATCCTCTTCTACTTTTTAAAATTTGACATACAGTGTTTAGATTCTATTTCCTTAGCCTACCAGAGTTGTGGGATTACAAGAGAGCTATCTGGCGTATGTTTTATATATATATATATATATATATATATATATATATATATATATATACTGTCTTTCATAGAGCCCACTTTATACTAATATTGGAGTCATATCTGAAAATTTGTTGATCCAAACTGACTGTTCTTCACAAAAAGATGATAATAGGAGTACTATTGTGAGAATAGGAGTACTATTTTAAGAAGAAGTAAAATGCAGCATATAGAGAGACGTATAAGTACCTTATGACACTTTAAACTTCCAATAAGAGTAAATGAGCCTAATTTTTTCATCCACAGGCATCAGAATAAGTTAACAATCAGTACTAGGTTGTTGATCCAGGAGCCTTTGTTCATTCCTAGGAATCACCCTCCTACCTACATAACATCTCACAAGGCACATGGGCACCCTCTCAGAAAGCATTAATGTGTCCTTACAGAGTTCTCTTCTCTCTTCAACTGTATGAATGAGGTGACTGAAATAATCTTAGAGTTCCGACAATAACAAAGAGACTCAATATGGTGATTTTGGATAAAAACACAAAGTAGATCTACAGTAGCTGTGTGCATCTTCTATTGACATCAGGGGTTCCAAGAACCCCATGTCACTCTCCAACCTCACAGTCTGCATGCCTTCTGTCTTGACACTAATTGGGATCCCAGGCCTAGAGTCTGTGCAGTGCTGGATCAGAATCCCTTTCTGTGCCATGTACCTTATCGCTATGATTGGAAATGCTTTGTTTCTGCTTACCATCAGGTCAGAGCGCAGTCTCCACCAGTCCATGTATATTTTCCTAGCCATGCTAGGTGCCACAGACATTCTGCTTGCTACATGCATTATGCCCAACATGCTTGGAGTTTTCTGGTTTCACTTGCCAGACATCAATTTTGATTGCTGCCTGTTTCAAATGTGGCTCATCCACACCTTTCAGTGCACAGAGTCCAGCATTCTGCTTGCCATGGCCTTTGACTGTTATGTGTTGATCTGCGATCCACTGAGACATGCCACCATTTTCACAACCCAGCGGGTCACCCAAATAGGAGCTGCTGTCTCCCTGAGGGTCGTCATTCTTGCAGCCCCTTGTCTTCTACTGACAAAGTGTCGCTTCCAATTTTATCACATAACAGTCATCTCCCACTCCTACTGTGAACATATGGCCATTGTGAAACTAGCTGCCAGAAATGTCATGGTCAACAAAATCTATGGTTTGTTTGTGACCTTCACTGTTTCAGGGTTTGACCTCACATTCATCACATTGTCCACATTTTCCACATCACAAACTTCACATTGGGCAATAAACAAGACTGCACCATCTGTCCCAGAATCATGGAACAAATGAACAATTGAAGTTCATGACCCGAGATTATATATATATATATATATATATATATATATATATATATGTTAGCATTGTTACTGTTTTTATTATGCCATTAACTTTATTCTATATAGAAGAGACAACATTTAAAAGGCTATTGACCATTAAAAGAGATTCAATATACTCATATTTTCAGTTTCATTTTGTTAAAATCGGTTTGTAATTTGTTTGACATATGAGTTTAATAAGAAAATGTTGTCGAAAGGAAGCTGATTTAACAGTAATTATAATTACTTAAGCAAGAGACATTGTGCACATGTCTTTGGATCAAAGATATATTAGAATTCATTCCTTTTTTCTTCTATCACTCGGAAACTTTTACGTATTTTCTAGTTATAAGCCATGTACAGACTCCATTTAGTGATCTCCAAAAATTCTGTGTCTACATATAAAGCCATACATTACTTTGACTTAAGGCATTATTTGAGTCTGGGTTGATGTCATTTAAACAGCAACCTCCTATAAATGGTGAGGGAGCCGTGAGGGCAGGAAGAAGCCAAATGCTTGATAGTGCACTTTAGTAGCAAGTGAAGTTTCCTGATGTCAGACATGTTCCCTGGTCACACCTACAGAATGGCCTGCTTTGTTTGAAAGAATCTTTCATGAATACATTCTGTATATGACAGTGAACACTGTATCATGGTTCAGGTATTTGAAGTATACATTTTTCATTTCTTTTCCCTATAAAGTTGGAAAGAGCCGAATTTAAAAATTGTGTATCTGATATATGCGCACAAACGCATGCATACATACGTACATGCACGCACCCAGAGAAATAGGTGTTTTTCTCTCATTCATGCAATTATTACTTCAATTTAGATATTTGTTGTATGTAAGTCATTTCTCTTTCTGTTTTTCCAGTTGGAATGAAATTTGTCCTCACTAAATAGTATGCCCTAGAAGAAATTAGCAGAAATTAATGTATACATTAGGGAAGAAAACTTCAATTGCAATGGAAACAAATGAGTTTCAATCCTCTCACAAAACCCCAAATTTGAAAACAAAGCTTATTCCACATAGAATGTCTGTGATCAGAAATTTAGACAATAAGAAACTTTTATGATGCTGTGGATTGGGAGAGGACATTTCTATAATTTTTGCTGTGATTGTGAACTAGTACAACCACCTGGAAATCAATGTGGAAAAAAACCTAAAAATAGAAATTTCGTTTGACCTAGATTCATTTCTTAATATCCCCAAAGACCTTCTTAATGTATCACAGTGACACCTGCATGCTCAGGTTTACAAAAGCACAATTCAAAATACTGCTTTTTGGAATCAGCCTGTCTGCCTAAAAGCAGATGAATAACTAAGAAATAGATAGATAGATGATAGATAGATAGATAGATAGATAGATAGATAGTCACTGAAAGAGAGATTACTAAGGATAAAAAAGTATAAACTAGAGTCATTAATAGGAAAATAGATACAAGTTGAAATCATATAGCTATTTTAAATAAGAAAGTTAAAAAATAAGTGTTTTTTCTTATGTGAAAATTACAAATTATAAGTAATTTAAACTGCAAAATAAAAGAGAGATAACAGAAAACGTGAAGTAGATCTTGAGGTGATTGTAAAGGGTCTGAGGGGGGGCTGGGGATTTAGCTCAGTGGCATAAGCGCCTGCCTTGCAGGCAGGCAGTCGTGAGTTCAATCCCCGGTACCGATAAAAAGGAAAAAGACAAAAAAAAAGTAAAGGGACTGAGGGATGGGAGCAGAAGGGCCACTTATGCCCTAGAGGGGAGGTGGAGACACAAATGATTAAGATGCCATATATAAATCATTACTTATTCAAATGAGCACGATTATTATGTTTCACAGTCATCTGTTTAAATATTAAAACACAGGTGACTTGACTCAGAGAGCAGCACCATGTCTCTGTTACTAGTTATGTTACTAGTAGTTCAATTTTCATTTGATGGCATGTGGGATGAAACAGAAAGTTGTATCAATGTAACACAATAAATAGCCTTTCTAAGGAGCAAGAAAAATTATAAATTGTTATTTCAGAAGATGTCTTTTTACTAGAGAAGCTTTGTCAAATCAGAGAATTATATAATATTTGAATTTTTATCACTATATACTATTTGTTAAAGTTTATATCTAAATATCCAGCAAAGCCTCATGCAGTGATGGGGACAGGCTGAGAGTTTGTGATTGATTCATGGTCCAATGCTGGGATTATGGTCTGAGTGCTCCCCTCACTGTAGGATGGGTGGCCTACATACAGAATAATAGGTAAAGCGTCTTCTCTGACACCCCTCCACTTATACTCTTGCTGCTTTTGCAGTCTTTCTATCCCCATGAACTGTTGCTTCTCTGTCACAGCAACATGCCTTGCAGTCAGCTGATTATGGACTAAAACCACTACAAATTGTGAGCTAAATAAACCTTTCTGTCCTTAATTTTGGGTGTCAGGTATTTTGTTTGGCAATGAGAAGAGTAAACAAGATACCATCCTTCAGTTAATTACATTTGCCACTACAATATATTTCTAGTATTAGACAAAGGTTCTGGGAATATTGGAAAGTTGGCAATGTGTTTCAGATATAATGGTCTTGGGGCTGGGGATTTAGCTCAGTGGCATAAGCACCTGCCTTGCAAAATCTCAGTCATGAGTTCAGTTCCCAGTACTGATAAAAAAAAAAAATCAGATATAATACTCTTAAATTTGGAAAAAAGGATGTGGATAAGGTAGTTTATTTGAAAAACGATTTCAGGCAAAATCCTGAGAACTAACACAGTAAAAGTTACATTAATGGGACACTATATTCTCAAGTTAAGTTGTGATAATGGTTACAAAATTCTGTATGTATAGGAAATGTGAAGAAAAATGTCTTTAATATGACTGAGGTGATTTCTCCCACTCTTACTGCACATTTTAGTGGATTTGATAACTAAATTTTATCATATGTGAAAATTTCATTTGATACTGTGAGAAAATATTTGATCAATTTTAAAATGCCATAAATAAAGATTTATTTTGACCTAAGCACTTGTGATTATAGAATATAATTTACATGGTCTTAAATTCTCTAAATCTTTAGAGAGAAAAATAATATCTAATTTTTATTTCATATAATACCTGCCTCTGGATTGGGTGCCAATGAAGAGCTGGCAACAAGGAATAGGTTTGGGAGACAGAAACGAGGAATGAATAACATATGGTACCTATGAATCTTTGTGAAGGCATGCATTATCACATAAAAGGATTGCTGGCCAATAGTTGAATATGAATTAGAAAATACAGACTCATCGGTGAAAACTTAAAGAACTATGTCACCAAAATATTTCTGTTTACCCAACAAATATTGTTTACTATTGTTATAAAGACATTATTGTCAAAACAAAAATTACATTAAGGAACATGGTATATGAATACATAGGTACCAGTATACATTTTAAAAATGTCTAAAAGTAATTTTGTATGCTCATTTACCAAAGTCACTTTAGGTCATCAGAGTGTAAGTCGAAGAACAGTCTCAACTAATTTAGGTATTTTTTAATGAATTTGAGTTAGTCTTTCTTTACAAATATTTTCACAACTCCTTGACAAATTTGGTTAGTCCTGACCCCATAAATAACTGGATTTAAACAAGGAGGAAAAACCACATACAGATTGGCCAGAAGGATGTGAACACAGTGAGGAACATTTCTACTGAATCTGTGTGTCATGAAGGAGAAAAGCACTGGTGTAAAAAGCTAGGATAACACAAACATGTGACACACATGTGCTGAGTGCTTTGCTTCTTGAATCCCTGGAAGTGAGGTGGAAAATAGCTTGGAGGATCTGAGAATAAGAGAGTACAATAAGGATTAAATCTATGATGAGTGCTGCAATGGCGAATAAACCGTAGATGATGTTGACCCTTATTCTGGCACAGGCCAGAGGAGCGATGCCCATGTGTTCACGGTAGGTGTGAGGGATAATATAGTGTCCACAAAAGGGCAGTCGTTTCAGAAGAGGACAGAAGGGAATCATGAGGAAGACTGGTCTGCCCACTACAACAGAGGCCATAATGGCCACCATCTTATTGGTGAGAATACTGGTATATCTCAGGGGGTAACAGATGGCTACAGAGCGGTCAATTGCCATGGCCACAAGCACTACTGATTCCATACCAGTGTAGGTGTGGATGAAGAACATTTGGATGAGGCAGCCTTCAAAGCTGATCTCCCTGAGGTTGAACCAGAAGATGCCTAGCATCTTGGGGATGGTAGAAGTGGAGAGGCCCAGATCAATAAAAGAGAGAAGAGCAAGAAAGTAAAACATGGGCTGATGGTCTCTGCTCAGTCTTGATCACATGCAAGATTGTGAAATTCCCCACAAGTGCTATCAGATAGACAACAAAGAAAGGGAAGGCAATCCAGATATGGAAAGCTTCCATACCTGGGACACCCAGCAGAAGGAAAGCAGAGGGATACAACGCTGACAATGTGTCATTCACAGAGGCCATGATGCTGCTGGGAAGTCTTGGTTAATACTCTATTGTCTTCTTCAGTATTTCTAAGGAGACACAAGCAAATGTATGGTAGTGGGATATCACTATGTCTAATCACATGTCAGTTAAATACTCAGTACAATAAAAGAAGAAAATTAGTGAATATTAACTTATATGCTCAAAATTTTATTATTTAATAGTGAAAACTGTGAATGTTAGAAACCATATTTTCTGGTGATAATGATTCACGGTTGTCTTTAGGTCATTTTTTATTAACATCCATTATGTAAAATAAACCTCTCCAGTAACTAGATTACCTTGAGTTGAGAGAGATATTTTAAGAAATCCCTCTTGAGTGTCATGCGATTAAAAAGAATTAGAAATGGGAACCGGGGGGCTGGTGCTGGGGATTAGCTCAGCTGCTCAAGTGCCTATCTTGCAAGTGTGCAGTCGTGAGTTTGATCCCCGGTACCAATAAAAAATGAAAAAGACAAAAAGAAATTTAAAAAAGGAAAGGGAGAAGGAAGAATTTAGGGAATTTATGATCCAAAAGATGTGTAATCATAATGCAGTACTTC